GGAACGCCGGGGGCTTCCAGCAGCCACGGCCCCGCGGGTCCCTCCCCAGGACAGCTGGCTGCCTTCAGCCTCCCTCCCCCTCAGCACAAGGCAGCCCCGTCCCGAGGGCTTGGGGATAAACAACGCTCGGAGCTGATTGAGGGCAGCTGCCGGGGAGCGGGGCTGCTGCCCACCACCGGCTGCAAAGGGGCTGGCAAAGCCCCTCCGGGACCACGGTTCGGGCGCATCCCCAGGGTCCTGCCCTGGCACATGGATCCTTCCCCTCCCCATGGCCCGAACATCGCTCCTGGCGCCTGGTTTTGGAGCCTGGTCAGGCTGTGAGGTCCCTCCCCGCCACCCTGAGCCGGGCGCTCGCAGCCCTGCATGGGCAGGAGCGGCACCGGCACCCAGCACCCCAGCAGCACCCCGAGGACCCGGCCGGGCACAGGGCGAGCTGCAGGTGTCCATGGCTCATTTGGGAAGCACCAGCAATCCGGGGGTCAACGGCAGCCAACTACAGCCCTGTCCCTTTGGGAAGTGATTAGCACTGACACCCCCAGGGCACTCTTGTTCGGGGGCTCATGGTGCCGTACCCACCTCACAGTGCCCCTTCCCCACGGGAGAGCCCCCAGTGCTGCGGGGACCCCAGCTCCCTTGCACGGTGCCCTGGGGAGCGGAGCCCAGCCCAGCCCATCCCATCCGCAGCCGGGTGCCGGTGCGGGGCCACGGGCACAGGGCGAGCCCTGACCCCACTCTGCCTCCCCTTCCAGAGAAAAGCGTGCCCCTGCGCATCCTGTACGAGAAGTACGGGGAGAGCCTGACCCAGGACAACATCATCAAGGTGGTGGCGCTCCTCACCGAGTACCAGACCGGCGATGTTGTCGTGGCCATCAGGGACGTCTACATCCAGAATCCAGAGATCAAGATCAGGGTAAGGGCCCAGCGTCCTGGTGGGTTTGGGGGGGACATTTCCCACCAACAGGGGCTTGCTACAACCACCCTGGGGGGTTGGTCCCACCAACCCGAGCCCGGGGGCTGGGGCAACCCCACCATGGTGGTGCTTGGGCAGCAGGTCCTGCATCCCTGGGGACCTGCATCCCTCCCCAGGGACCTGCATCCCTCCCAGGCCCAGGGCAGGGGAGCACCGTGGCCCCAGGCAGGGCAGTGCTGGGGGTCCACCCTCTC